CTTGATAACTGACCTTTGAAAAAAACTTAAACAGAGTGAGGCCGTATGGTGGAATAGACTAAGAGGGGGCAATGTCGCGATGTACGGAATAGGAGGGAGAAGCGGGAGAAATGAAAGCACTGTATTTATACCAACTGGTTTACTTATTTTTCTTCTTTGTTTGATATGAAACTGCTATTTACTATTATATGAATTCTTTTATCCCATCAAACTTGTTGTCAAAAGTCTCAACTTCTAAGCAAGGAACTCGTCAGTCTTGACGGGACCCTCTCCAACTCCGGTAGAAATAACTCGGCTAACACCATCCTTCAGGGTAGTAGCAAGAGATCGGTCAAAGACAATGCTGGATCGAGCGCTGGCAGCACCCTCCTTGAAACCACCGACACCCTGAAGAGCCTGGTAGAAAGCACCGACGACAATATCGGCATCCTTCTCCTCGTAGTAAATGACACAGTTGGGGCCAGCATCGAAAGTGTAGGCGGCAACAGTTCGGCCGACCTTCTCGTTGATGTACTCAACAGCACGGATGGCAGCGCGCGAGATGTCGTTCATGTAGAAGATGGGAGGGTAGGTATCGGCGCAAGTAGCGTGGAAAGAGTTGGACTCGCGCATGGTGACCTCGGCAAACTTGGGGAAGTCCTTGTTCTTGATGGCCTCCTCCATGAGGGCCATGTTGGTGGGAACAACATTTGTTATTCTCTCCTTAAAGAGACCAGAGGTGGCAACGGTCTGCTGCATACCAGAGGTAGAAGAAACACCCTTCTTAGCGGCGCTGACAACAAGAATCAGAGCTCGCATGTCAGGCCAGTGTGAAGCGGGAGCGACGAGGTCAGCCTTGGAATCGCTACCGTCCTCCTTCTCACCCATTCTCCAAGCGACGTAGCCGCCGAACAGACTTCGGCAAGCAGATCCAGAACCTTGTCGGGCAATGAGAGAAAGCTCAGAGGGCGAGTCGGGAAGCTCGTAGAGAAGAGCAATGGCCTGGACAAGCGCGGCAAAACCAGCGGCGGAGGAAGCAAGGCCAGCGGCGGTGGGGAAGTTGTTCTCGGAGACGATCTTCAGGGGGAAGCTGGAAAGCTTGGGGAGCGAAGAGTCGGCCTCCTCGAGGGCGGCACGGCGGGATCGAAGCTCACGGAAGCAAGCCTGGGTTCGGGCGCCAGAGATGTCGGAGGCTTCGCCGTTGAGGGTGAGGCTGTCGCCATCGGTAAAGGTGCTCGAGCATGAGGCGGTTGTGAGGGTTCGAAGATCGTCTTGCGAGAGGGTGACGGAGAGGGAGCTGTTGGTAGGGAGGTTAAGCTTCGCGTCGCGCTTGCCCCAGTATCTGTCATGTATCAGTTGAAGGTCTTTTATTGCGAATAGGAGATGTTTACTTGACAACAGCGATGTTGACGGGCGCAGTGGTGCTGGCGCGGTAGATCTTTGTGTCGGCCATTGTGAAGGATGTGATGGGAGTTGAAGCAAATTAGATACTGAATTGAAACAGAAGAATGGTCTAACAAAAAAGATAAAGCAGACTTCACCGACTTGTTGTAGCGGAAAGAGTTGGAGATGAACCGCGGGCGGGCTACTCTGAGATTATGGCCTCAAGAGGTCTAGTGCGGGGTCTAAAGAGGACCCCTGAATGGAGCCCCTCACCACCAAAGTGCGGTTCATCTTGGGGGATTGGCCAATGCGGTTGGAGCTTGGGGTTTAAACATTGGATGAGCTTTAATGGGCTTTAATGGCCGGGCCGTATGTTACATGATGGATCATGTAAGTCCTCTTCAGCTTGAATATTCTCTTCTTACATTCATGATACTGACACATTCTGTGAGTATTTGGAGTTTGGGTGCTCAACACTTTTTTTGACAATTTAGTAGGCGAAATTGCTTGGGCGTAGCGGCTCACTAGCAAAATCAAAGCCTGGGGAGAAGCCACCGAACTTGAGATGCGAATACGACTTCGGTGCATTTTTGCCAAGGTGTTCGCTGTATTCTTCTCTTGGCCTTTACAGGCCGCAGGAGCAGGCAAGGTACAGACAAGTACTTGTCAGATAAAGTTGATCTTCGGATTTTATCTCAATTGATCCGAATGCATCCCTGTTCACAAGCTGCGTCGGGGGAAAGACACGATACAGAACAGTATGTGTTTCTTTCGAGTTATCACCTCTCATAGTTGTAAAAGTACCGATATAGATGATTTCGGGAACCAGGACTGCTCTTCTATCTATCTGCTGGATCTGCTATGACTGGATGCCTAAACCATTGAGCCGTTAAAGCTGTCTTGAGGCTGTAGGGTAAGCTCATTTCCAGTTAGAGTTAGAGACACCAAAATGTTAGTGATCTGTATTGCGATACAATGATGATAAGCCTGGACTAACAGAATCTCGATGACTTTCTGGTGACTATCATATTTTTCATGAAGCTTTTAAAAATGGGGTTCTTCCGTTTGTCGACGGACTTTACTCGGGGACAAAGCCTGAGCAACACATCGTGAACAGCCAGCATCAAATTCACAGCCCATCTGGACTCTTCTAACTCTGTCAAGCAACTTAGTTCCTGTTGACAACTTGTCTCAGCTCAAGCCTCAATGTCTATCCAAACCTTGATTCAACGCCTGCATTACTCGCCATGATCGGCCCATACACAACAGACTATCGATGGTAGGACGAGACAAGTGCACGTGGCAGTGCATAGTGGGCTTCATTCAAAAAGGAAACAAACCTCCGGGGTAATCAGATCGTGCATCCAAAAACCCCAGACGAAACAGGCCTCAATGCATCTTGGCTGAAGTTCAAGTGTGACAGTGGCGGTGCGATAAACGGGTAGACGTACGAGTGGACCAATCAGATGAGGTGGGCATGAGTGGCCCCAGGGACAGACAGAGCTAGGCTGGATTGTTGACGTCACAAATTCCAAGCTTGTGGACGCCAATAGCTGGATGAGATAGTGGTGACGGCTATCCAAGATTATCTATCCAAGGCAAGTGAGGCTTGGCCAGGTAATGCATTTCCCGGCTTTATTTCCACGTTATTGTTGTTGCTTCATCTTCCTTCCCTCTCCTTGGTTGCGTCGCTCTTCCCCCTGTGCATGAGTCTTCCCGCCTTGGCCCCGAAGCTTACATCCACCTTTACCTATCCGCTACTACCTCAACCCGATATTTCTTAAATCGACCGTCTCCCCTTCCAAGGTTACGAACCAAAAAACAAGGCTGTACCCATAATGAATTCCGCTTTGAGGCGCGCTTTGTCGCCAGGTCTACGGACATCGCAGATATCGCAAGCATTTGCCAAACACCAAATACCAGCTGTGTACCGATGTAACGCCGCGCCGACACCTTTTGGACGCGCTTTTACGACTTCAAGATGTTTCAAACAAGAAGCTGCTGAGATTCAAGAGGAGGCTAAAAGAAGGGATGATTTGAGCGAAAAGGCTCGCAAAAGAGATATGAAGAAGGTTACGTCAGGTGCTAGCGCTCAAACGTTAGAGAATGATCGACCATGGCATAGAGCCGACTCTGGAGCAGAGCCAAATGGCGAGAAAGATGTTCCTGATAAAGATCAAATGAAGAAGGGTAAGAAAGCTTCCAAAGTCCGTGCGAACATTGGCTAATGACCACAGGACGTCTCTTGACAACGCCGACTCGCCTGCTGAAGCTCATCCTACCGATGCCCTTCCACCCCGAACAAGAGCACGTCAATAGACCAGTGAAAGAGGAAGTCGACGACACGAGTGAAACTGTCGAGCCATTGGCTCTTCTTGTCCACCCCCATCAACCACTTTCGTACCTCGAGCGATTGATCCAAGCTGAGATTCCACCCGTTCATTACAAGGGCCGCGAGAAGCTCCCCGACATTGTCTTCCGAGCCGAAGCCGACCAAGAAGAGCAGACCGGGAAGAAGGATAGCAAGAAGAAGAGCAGCAGCGCCAGCGCCAGCTCCAATGTCGCATCATACTCTGGACTCGGCCACGAAGGCCCTTCTAATAAAGAGGCCAATTGGGTGCGATGGAGCGGCAGTACCGAGATCGGAGACTTTATCAGAGATGCTGCTCGTGGACGCGAGTTTGCGATCAACATTGAAGGCTATGATAACGAACTTCGAGTCGCTGTGCCCAGCTTCAGAGACCGTACTTACTACATGCGCATGAGCCTGCGACGCATGTCACGCGACATCGAAGGCATGTCCAAGGTCAAGAACGAATGCGACGCCCTAGCTCACAAGGGAGCACACCGTCTCGCACAGGGAGGTTTCGCTGCTCTAGCCGGATGGTGGGGAGTTGTTTACTACGTTACATTCCACACTCAATGGGGATGGGATTTGGTAGAGCCCGTCACATATCTCGCTGGTCTGACAACCGTTATGGGTGCTTACCTGTGGTTCTTGTACATCAGCCGTGATCTCAGCTACAAGGCCGCCATGAAGGTGACGGTGTCCAAGCGACAAGCCGCACTATACCAAGAGCGTGGATTCGACCAGAACAGATGGGAGCAGCTTGTTCACGAGGCCAACCAATTGCGACACGAAATCAAGATCATCGCAAGCGAGTATGATGTTGATTGGGATGAGAAGAAGGACCTGGGAGGTGAGGAAGTCAAGAAGGTTCTTGAAGAGGAGAAGCAAGGTCGTGATGGCACCAAGGTGACACAGGACAAGGACGATGATGGAGGCTCCGACACATCTGCCGAGATCAAGAAGAAGCAGTAAATGATTGCAAAGAATCGGAATGAGCGAGAGTCTGTACACTAAACATCAGATCATGGCGAATGGCTTGATATTTGACTTTTATTGGAGGCGTCAGTCATGGTGGTGTGGTGAGCTGATGGCGTGTTCTCTGTAAATGTTTTGTTTTGACCATTTGAGACGCATAGCGATAGGCAACAAATAATGCATTTAATTGTGAGAAGAAGATATCGGTCTGAATCAATTGAGACTCATGATAGCTTCACCCAGATCTAAAGGGCATCTTGCAAAAAGCGCGATAAAGCTGCGATAAGCCAAGTCTTGACGTTATGATATGATGAATGGAGTTATCATGACGTATCATAAATATCCATGACCATAACACAGCCGTACTAATCCATACTGTGCTTAGCCGGGTCATGTAAGCGGAGTACAGTGCCGCTTATAGCTTCGCTCCATGATATAAAAAAGTCTCCCCACCACAGCATCCAACCACAACATCTGCGTTTGTCACGATCGTCTCGACAAAGGTCAGCATGTGACCTAAACAGGCAGTCTTCTGGAACGACTTTCGGCGCATTCCAGAAGCTAAATTCAATTTAATCACTCAGCCTTTTCCCCTCCTCGTACTAGGCTACTTTATAACCCAGAGCCGATCCCCCCGCAGCTACTGTACAGTACCTACCGAAACGATACCTAGTGATACCGACGGGCCTGTACGAATATGGCGCCTCAAATTATTCGCCTGCCTGACGGTCAGACCTTTACTGTTACACCTGTTTTTGCAGGTCTTGGTTTCAAAAGCCATGAGCTTAATACCCATCATAATGCTTTTCCCGTTGGGTGGACTGTTGTTTTGAATACAGAGACGGATTGCGCTTCTGACGATGATAGCGCTGAGGAAAGCGAAAATGGCGCCGCGTTGGATGGCACGAAGCGACATATTCACTCGTTCAAGAAACCGACCCTACAAGGCGACAACCTCTTCATCTCGTCAATCGCGAACCCTTCCAACTCCGAGTTCAAACCCGCTGCGAGTCCCACACGCCAAATCGCCATGATGCTGTGGATTACGCTGTACTGGTACTTTCACCAACCCGAGCCCGAACCTCAGATGTCTGCGCAAGCAGCGGAGAAGACACCACAGGCCGGCAAGCCGAGGGGTGAATGGAAGATTAATATCAAGAGGGATGGAGTTCTGCGAGGGCGCAATCTTATTCCGAAGCTTGAGCGCATGGGACTTATCACCTCTGGCCGAAGCGCTGTTGGAACGAGTTTGGATGATAATGGGGATGATTGGTCGCATATGTTTGTGTCAAAGAGGATGTTTTGGCAAATTCCTGGACGATTGTTCTTGTTTTCTCTTCAGCCGAACAGAACTGGTGGAGCATATGATTCGATGCCTGGATCGCCAATTGGGAGTCGACCGACCTCGCCTTTACCGATGGAACCGTCATCGCCGTTCCATAAGACGTTCCAGCGCCATTCACCACATTCATCACTCAATCGCATTGATCATGACCTTCCTGGTGGACCTACGCCGACTTCAATGTCAACACCGCCAAGTTTCCCTATTGGACCTTTCTTTTCCAGCTCACACCTTCCGACTTATTACCCTCCTCCCCCTCTTCAGTATATCTTTACGAATAATATCCGACATCCTATTCGACCGAAGCCGCCAAGAATGGGAGAAGTATTTTATACTCGATTTGTGCCGAGTGTTAACCAGTACCTTTCGTTCCGAGTGGCGTCCATCTCACCAAACCCGGTACCCTACTTGGGCCCAGTTGGACCGCAGCCACCAGAGCAGTCTCACCTGTCCAGCATGAACGACACGTCTCTGCTGCAGATGTGGATGAAGAAACCTCGCGTTAGCGAATTCTGGGGCGAGTACGAAGACAAGTTCCTCACCAACGCCCTCAACCAACCGAACTGCTTCCCTGTTATTGGACTCTGGGATGGTGTGCCGTTTGGATACTTCGAAGTCTACTGGGTAAAGGAGGATATTCTCGGTAAACATATTGGCAGCGATGCAGATGATTGGGATCGAGGCATCCATGTGTTCATTGGAGAAGAGTGGGCAAGAGGACGTGTTCCGATCTGGCTGACCGGGCTTGTTCACTGGTGTTTGACGTCGGATTACAGAACAATGAGTGTGTGTCTTGAACCGAGGGTAGACAATGCGAGGTGAGTTCTTCCTTTGATGTCGGTGTTCGAAGCTAATATTGGGCAGATTCTTGCAAGGACTTGAGCGCACAGGCTTTTCGCGTGAGAAGCAAGTTTCGTTTCCCCATAAGCAATCTTGGCTTGTGAGGATGCGTCGTGAGCAATGGGAAGGACCAGCATTGTAAGAGCGATGAAGGGGAGATTTTGATGCAATTTGAGAAGCGATTTGGTGATGAGAATACGAGAGATGATTTACGAGGTTGGAGATAAAGCATTTGATGAATACATAACGCACTTGAGAATTGGATTTACGAACAGACGACCTCCTCTGTCATTTGTGACTGTGAACATAGCGGCGTCGTTGTCCATGTCCTGAGTGTTGTTCACCCGAGAACAATGTCTTGTTCAGCGACCACAACGCTGCCAGAGCGTGACATGTATAAGTAGAACACTTCGCACATCTAGGCATCAATCACATCTCAACATTCACTTTTCAATACGTATTTACAGGCTTGAATCACGTTACCAACCCACCATCTCGAACTGTTCCAACGACGTTGACTACTTCGCAGTTGTTCTCACGAACCGTCCAACAAACCTTCCACCTTCCACCACCAAACCAATCTTTAACAAAACAACCCGTCACACCAGGTAAGATGTGTCAACCAGCAGAAAGACCCAAGACTAACCACAACTCCCCATTTATTCGCCAAAACTACCTCCGCGGCCAGATGGGACCTGCTTTTCAACCTCCCTCTAAGACTTGTCCCAAATGCAAGCAATCCTACTCGAGCATTCGCAACATGTGCCTCCCGTGCCTTAAACTAACAGCAGCCGAGAAAGACCAGGACACCATTGATCGTAAGCGAGACACTTTCGTCGAACATTGCAACAATTGCAACAAGACAACCGTCCATCTCGGCCCGCACTGGTGCACTATCTGCTGGGCGATTACCAAGGATACCTATCCTGCTTATTGTGAGGAGTGTGTTGTGCGGATCGATGTTCCTACCGTCGTAGGCGATGACAAGGGTGGGTGGGTAGACATGTTTAAGGTGAAGACGCTTTGGTGTTTGTGCTGTCGGGGTATTGCCGAGAGTTGGGCTAGAATTGATGTTTAGGAGGTGGGAGAGTTGATCCTACAAGAGTTGATCCTTCGAGAAGGATCAAGTGGTAGTGATGGCCTCACGTCAGATTGGTAAGCGCTAGGGCTTCACTAGGACTTTACTGTAGATATTTAGGAGCTGAGCTCCTGCCAAGTCCTGTCAATTGAACTTTTGTGAATCTATTTATTTCTTTCCATCTTGTGATAAACTGTGAACATGTCTTCCATTTCTGGACTCGAGGCGCTTGAATGCGACTTCTCCATCCCAAACGATGGCACCGTAAAACTATCTCGCTGGTCTGATACACAAATCGATAGTCCGGCTCTCACAATCACTCCCAAAATAGAGTCCGATATCCAGACGGCTATTCAAATCGCAAAAGATAATGATATCACTATCCTCGCTGCCGGCGGTGTCCATGGGACGTTTGTCACAGTGGGTGCTTCAACGTTGTATTTGGATATGAAGAACTTCAAGACCATCGAACTAAACAAGGACAACGAAACTGTCCGAGTAGGCGGTGGTGTCACTACAGGCGAAGTGATCAAGGCGCTGGCTGAGGAGGGCTACTACACTCCTGTTCCCAACTCCGACGCCGTTGGCTTTGTGGGATGTATTCTTGGTGGCGGAAATGGTGTCCTCAGCGGTCTTCACGGATGGATGGTTGACAACGTCGTTTCATTTCGCATCATAACTGCCGACGGCATTATCACCAATGTCAGTTCAGATTCACAGGGCGAAGAGTTAGAGCTATTCAACACCCTTTGTGGCGCAGGCCATGGCCTAGGTGTCATAACAGAAGTGACAGTCTCCATCTTCCCCATCGCAAAACTCAACATGGAGAACAACAAGATCTGGACCCGAACATTCATCTTCCCCGCCTTGGAAATCGACATCGCTATCAAGACATTCCTCGATTTACAACATCCTTCTACTGAGGGTTTTGCGAGTATGGTTTTCGCACGGAACGCTCATGGCGCTCCCATCATCGTCCTTGGGTATACATTCTTCGGTCCAGCTGACAAGGCCGAGAAAGATGCAGCTGCTCTGTTTGAGAAGGCTATTGCCAACAAGGTTATTGTGGGCGCGACGGAGTATTTGCCCTTTGAGAGCTTGAATGCTAAGAATGAGATTTATAATTCTCATGGTGGTCACAAGGCAATTGCTTCATGTCGTCTCACGAAGACAACATCCTCTGTCCTCAAGACCAGCTTTGACCTTTGGTGCACAGCGACACAAGACAATCCCGATGCTTCTCAAACCCCGCTAATAATGTCTGCCTTCAACACGGCCAAGAGCGAAACCTTCACCACTTCCTCTGTAGAAGCCCGTGACAGACCACTCAACGCATTCGCGCCAGTGCTCGCAAAGACGGAAGAAGGGAACAAAGCGTTCATGCAAGCTTTAGACAAGATTATAGCGGGCTTGAGAGAAGCGGATGAGGGTGTTGAGGCTAGAAGCTTTGCGAATAATTGGAGGTTTGAGACTGATATTGGAGAGATGTTTAGTGAGAAGGTGTTTGAGAGAGTGAAGAGGGTCAAGGAGACGTGGGATGAGAAGGGCGTGTTTTGGTCGCCTTATTTTAAGAACAAGAGTACTTGATGAGGTAAAGTACCGGTAACGTGAAGAGATAATTTATCGGAGGAGAAACGACTCTACTCTGTCATGCTTAGATGCCTTATCCAAGCTGAGTACAGTCGAGGCTTCTGATTGGTCTCGTATTCCGTATTCAGCGTTCCCACCCCCGGACTGTCAGCATGGATGGACCTTCGAAGTCTTACTTAAACAGCCCTCACCAACAGCAAATAACTACAAGATTCTCGTATGCTTTCATCTCCTTGATAATTGCCTTTCATACAATGTTGAGACCTTCCGCCCAGACACTTGTGCGAAATCGTACCCCCTCATCACGACGCCTCATAACAACAGCCCTCACCCATCAAACCCATACCCTTTCAGACGGTCGCCAACTCGGCTTCGCAGAATATGGCAAACCAAATGGCCATCCCATCTTTTATTTCCATGGCTTCCCTTCATCGTGTCTTGAAGCTCAGCCTGTTGATGACATAGCTCAACGGGTTGGTGTTCGTCTCATTGCGCTTGACAGGCCTGGGTTCGGACTCTCCACACCGAACCCTGACTATCGTATTGTCGATTGGCCTAGCGATGTGATGGAACTGGCGGAAGCAAAAGGCATTGTCCGATTTTCAGTTTGTGGACTTTCGGGTGGTGGTCCCTTTGCTCTGGCTTGTGCGTATGCTTTACCAAAGAGTAAGCTTGCGAGCGTGGGCTTGTTTGCGAGTGCACCGCATTGGGAAGCTGGAATTCAACATGTCGATGTATCACGTCGACTGTTGAGATTCTTTGCGGTGAATTATCCCAATCTCCTTGGTAGTGCTTTGCATGCGGCCTATCGCTCTATCCGATGGCTCATCCTCACACGTCCTGCTATCAAGAGGATAGGCAAGTGGCTTGAGACCGAAGACGCTAAGCATCCTCCCACACAAGATTCCAAGAAGCCCCATGCAGAGAGAATACAAGATTTGGTAAACATATTTCTCGATGAGCCCTTTCGCCAAGGCGCAGGTGGGACAGTACATGAAGCAAGGCTGCTGTCCTCTCTTGACTGGGGTTTCAAGCTCGAGGATGTTGGTTTTGGGAAAGTGCTGATGTGGCATGGTGTTGAGGACATGAATGCACCCATTGAGATGATACGGTACATGGCGGAGAAGGTACCAGGGAGTGAGCTTATGGAATTTGAAGGGGAAACGCATTATACTATGTGGAAGCAAGTTGAGGCTGCTTTTAAGAGGTTGGTTGATGAGGCAACTTTGAAGAGGGGAGATTAGAAGGATTGGGTAATTTAGAGTGGATTATTTGTGATATTTGTAAAGTATACTACATATGATGGTCTCATTCTCAAGAGTCTCTAGACGACAGTGTCGGTAGAACTAGTTTTGTCTTTCCATGCTCTTGTCCCAACTGTCAAAATACCCTGCGCTCCCAAATTCCCTGAAACAGGCAGTTCATAATTTGTGTCCATCTTCACGCCACAGGTCTGACACATCATGCTCACACCAGGTCTACTAAGACCTCCTGTCGCAACACCTGTTGTGATAGTAGCAGTAGATGGCGCTTGCAGTACAACAGCTTCATCGGCCCCGAGTAACCGCTCTTCGATCAAATTCTGGCCATTCGTCGCTTTCGATATCGCCTCACCAGCCATCAAGGTAATAACAGGAAGACCTCTCATGAGAGGTGGAAGACCACCTTGGACGTTGGAGAGACGTGCGAGCTTTGAGACTTCGGCTTTTAGAGCTTGGGATGTTTTGTTGGAGGACATGGTGAATTGAGTTCTATGAGAGTAGGTCGCTGGGATGTATGCTTGATCTAAAGACGAGGCATCTTAAGTTGGGAAAGCAGGATGTTTGAACTACTTAAAGAGAGAATCATTATTTGTATGGTGGCAGTCGAGTTAGGATTATAATCCATACAGTTCGCGGATTTCGTATACGGAATACGCAGCCAATCAGAAACTCAGGATGACCTCAACCTAGACTGTCTAACAGATCAAGGGTTTCATTCTCTATCTCAGATCACGTTTCCATTCCCGGATCTACTCTGAGAATGTCTAGCCAAGAAGGGTTTACTGTAGGAGGATATAATGTAGGTAGATTGTAGTGCAGTAGTGGAAAACCAGGCTCTGTAGGTCTGCATCTTGATCTTCCTACAGGGATCTTCAAAAAGTCTTACAGAATAACCACAGATGTAAAAGAAAAAAAAAAGAAAATCTATAAGTATCTAGTATATAAAAATAATATAGTATAGATGCTTCTTCTTACCTTTTTATGCTTTTTAAAAGCTATTTTGCTATAAAAAGTAAACCTCTTCAAAGTATTTATAGGGCGAGTATTGCAGCTACAAGCTTTCAGGGGTTAGGGTGCAAAGCAATCGGAGGAGGCCTGGGGGAGGGTTAAAATTGCAGTGAA